AAGAGTTCTCTCTGCAAAGAGGAAGTGGATCTTTGTGGCTTAAGCAAAAAAAAAAAAAAAAGAATAAAAAGTGTAATTTTAAAAGCTGGCCAGATTCTGAAACTTGGCTCAACTGATAAATCTATACTTTCTTCTTGAGTGACCAAAGTAAGAAGAGGACAAAATAAGATGCTGTTCCACCTAAACAAAAGGTACCTTAGGTGGCTAAGGTCTTGTAGGAATGTTGGAGATAATCACTTACAATGTGAACCGTCTCACGGAAGTCTTTTAAGAAGAACATGTAGGGAGCCTTGCTTAACCCAGTGGAAACACATAAAGGCTAGTCATCTAATGCCTTAAGCACCAAGTTTCTTGGAACCACCAAGACACATAAAAGGTAAGAATCCACTCAAGGTTGACACCTTGACGAGCTATTCGTATAAGCTGCACACTCCATCCAAAACAAAATCCCATTAGATATTTTTGCTCATGCAAAAGGAAGATCTAAATTGTGGGCAAGTATACTTCTAAAACTGACTCTTCCTCCTTACTGAGAGAATCACCTTTAGAAACACCAACTGGACTTCTGTGTAATACTTACAGCATTTGCTTCATGCAAATATTTAGAAAAATGGTCTCACATAACTCCCAGAGACCCCCAAATTACAATGGTCCACATGGAGTACCTTTGAAATACCTAGCCTAGTTTATCGGTACAGTCAATTAGAAAAAGCCAGCTCTAAAATAAAACAAAATAACTATGGATGGTACCTATTTTCAGTGGTGTTAGAAGTTTCTAGAGAGGTTCTAATAGTCATTTCTTTGCAAGTGGAAAACAAAAGATTGTCTAAAACACTTTCTAAATTGAAAAAGACTGCCAAAAGTTTTCCCCCTTCTTCATCTTCTTTTCTTTTGCCAGAACTTCCTTGTCCGAACTTACCTCTCTTTCCTCCTCTACCTTCTGCTGTTTCGGCACCATTCTGGAAATACTTTGTGTCTGATAGAGGGGAACCTGCCTTTGTTATTGATTATGGTCCAAAGTGGAACTTACAGGCCTAAAGAATTCCTGTATCCTCTTCAGAACTCCACTGAATTTGCTAAAGAATTTGAAATAAATATTTGAACTTACGACTCTGGCTGGATTTTCTGACACACACCAATTGGTTCACCTGTTAATATCAGAAAGAAAAGCCAAGACTGGGTAGCAAAGGTAAACTGCAGGAATAAATTGTGAAAAACTTGCATACATTTTCTGAAGCAGATCATGAATGGGCCTGCAGTATTGCCAAGTCTTTACTAGACACTATCCCCTTAGTTTTCAAAACAGTAGTTGGTTGGAGTAAAATAAAACAATGCCAACAACATTTTGATGAGCCTATAATGTCATACTATGAGAGATTTGAAAAAGTATTTCAACAATATTCAGACCCATCAGAAGAAAGTTATTCTAATCATCAAAATGACATTCTCCTTAACTCAAAATTTATAAAAGGATTAGATGAAAAACTGGCAATTATAATAAAGAGACAATACCTTGGTTGAGCTACCTCTCAAACTCATGGTCTAGTCAATTTTGCTGACCAAATATCGTATACTCTAACTGATATGGACAGGAGACAGGAAAATACAGCGTAGAAGAGGGTGGTTCCCTGGCAAAGATCCCACCCTCAAACTTGGAAACCCACGACCCAAAATGAGAACAGGTATTCCTGTTTTTGCGCCCAAAAGTTGCCTTTTGGCCTGCCACACCCCCTACCCTGTACCCACATAAACCCCCAAACCTCAGGCTCCATGAGCAGATGAGCAGACAAGGAGATGAACAGAAAAACAGATGAATGGCAGAACGGTGCAGCAGAGAGAAGAGAAGGAATATCTAAACACTGAGAGGAGTTCGACTGGGGACAGTCAGAGAGGAGATCGGCCGCTGGACAGCCAAACTCCAGAGGAAGATCATCTTCCCACTCCGTCTCCCTTCCAGCACCCCATCCATCCTGCTGAGAGCCACCTCCACCACTCAATAAAACCCCTGCATTCATCCTTCAAGTTTGTGTGTGACCTGATTCTTCCTGGATTCTGGACCACAACCCAGGTACCAAGAGGGTACTGAACTTGGTTAACACTGTCCATGGATGACAAAGCTAAGAGAGCGTGCTGTAACACACGTCCACTTGGGCTTCAGGAGCTGTGGGTACCCACCCCTGGATGCTGCTGTGGGGCCAGAGCCCAGGGACACTCACCCAGGCTCCTGCACCTGTCCATCTGCATCCTCTCCCTCCCATAAGGGAGTCTGAGTGCGCATGGAGGCCAGACAGATAAGCCACACGTCCTGCAAGGGGGTTCAAAGAACTGTCCCACTTTCATAACCAAGGAAGAAAGAGAAAAAGAAATTAAACAGAGAGGAAAAAGAAATAAGATCATGAATTTACAATTTAAACAATTGTCCAAAACATTTGTAACCCATCAGCAGTCTAACAAAGCCTAAAACCAACTTAATTCCCTGCTTTGCAATTACCAGAAAAGCCTGGAGGTTTCTTAAAAATTAAAACGAAAACAGCAACGAGCCAGAGAAAAAGAATAGGGATGCTTCGAGGAAGTCAAAGTGGCCATTTCTTTTCTCCTCACTAATACCTTAGGGGAAATTATACCTTGATTCTGGTAGTATGAGGTGTCAGCAATCATGAAAATAAAGTTAGGCTACAATTGAAGCCACTAGTGACGATCTTAAGGAAAACCTTTAGAGACGTTTTAAAGAAGAATTGCAGGATTTCTAAGTATGCACCTCTTTTGGGAATGAAGACACAGAGAGGTGCCCTTTGGAGGCAGACAGCTCTGTTTCCGCCACATTCTACCAGGAAGCCCATATTGGCTTTTATATTAAAGAATCCACAGTGAATGATTTATCCCTGCTTTAGCTCAAGGCTGGGAACACTTCTGCCATTCAGGCTTCTGAGAAGAGGGAGCACCGGGTTCCTTTCATCAATACACAGAGCCCAGCTCCTCCGGGCCCCTACAGGACTCTCATAAAAGGTTACTTAATTGCCAGGACCCACAGGTAAAGCTGACATCCTGGATGAAGGTTCAAAGGAGGTGAGTGTACCTTTGGCTGGGTAAGCTCAAGGGATATTCTTTCAAAAACTGTCTAGAAATATTCTAAGCCAACAAGAAACCACAGAGTACGTTAAATCATATCTTAACCTGAACGACTGCAGCTGCACAGCTGATAGGTGGGAAATCTTTTCCTTGCAAGGAGAGGGAAACCGCTTAAACTAGCTGAAGTGGAAATGTTTGTTTTGTTTTTTTAAATTAGGATCCTTTGTATGCCACAGAACCCAGGAGCAGAATGTCCAGCTGCATTTCAAAGCACTGGAAAACCATAAGGAGCCAGAAAATCCCAATAACTTACTGTCAGCTACGGCTTCAAGAATGCTGCATGACAGACAAGAACAAAATCTCACTAGCACAGACCAAAAAGCCTTCGCTTCTCACACAGCTGCAGGTTGGCTGGGTAGCTCGGATCCCGGCTCACCTGTCTGCTGGTTGACCTCCACCTACGTGCCTACAAAATCCCTTCAGCAGTGTCTCACAGCTTCTCCGTGCTTCGCTCCTCATGGCCAGCAGGTGTTCCCTTCCTCAGTGATTGCCCGTGCACTAACTACTAAGGCGATGGGAGTGTGAAAGCGCCACTCCTGTGCCTTGAGAGGGGATAAACTGTGGGGTGAGTCCCACTCCAGAGCGCCCCATGGCGTCAGGCTGAGGAGGGGACTTCACTTGAAATCACAGCCCTGCCTGGTTTCTTCCTCCTCTCTGCTCCCTCCGGGAAACACTTCCTTAACAGACAATTTACACAGGAGCCCCCAATTCCAGGTCTACTTTTGGAGAACCCAGCAAAAGACATGTGGCCGAGGATGAGGATTGTAAACAAAAAAGCCCCATGGAGGAAGGAAAGGAGAAAACTATTTTCAGAGGGAGAAATCATCTGCAGATTGGGGAACGCCACCTCCAAGGAAAACGGAAACTACGTGCTCCATGGAAGCGAAAGGAAAGCTGGTATACCCACGCCTCGCAAGGTGAGCCTTACATACATATTCAGCAGGTTTGGAGGAAATGTATGAATATTCATGAGGGAAGTCAGGCATGAGTGCAGTGAGTAAACACATATGCAATGTACATTCCATGTTCACTTTGAGGGGAAGTTTTAGCATGAAAGTGGGGTGAAACTTGGCTCTTTAAGTGAAAAAGTAAACTATAGAGCACAAAGACAATTTGTGCACAGACTCTGTAAGCAGGCCTGAGGTCTGTGACTATCAGGAAAGACAGGCCAGTTCGTTGTTGTCCAATCTGGAAAGGGCCCCCCGAAACAGTCCCAGGTTCTGCTTCTCACTAACTTTGACTTCCCTGTAGCTGTGCCTTGTGATGTGTAAAACTAGAAAAAGCCCAATTTTCTGGCCAGGTCACCTTGAACCCCCCACCCTCACCAAACCACTTCGCAAATTACTTAGAAGGGAACATTCTGCTTTCCCCTAATATGGCGTTGGTAATATTTTGTTAGCTATAAGAATTCTGTGTCAAAAATCTGTATATAAAACCTTGGCTCCCAGGCCTGGTGCAGTGGCTCAACCCTGTAATCCCAGTACTTTGAGAGGCCGAGGCAGGTGGATTGCTTGAGCTCAGGAGTTCGAGACTAGCCTGGGCAACATGGCAAAACCTCAACAAAAAATACAAACATTGGCCAGGTGTGGCATCATGTGCCTGTGTAGTCCCAGCTACGTGGGAGGCTGAGGTGGGAGGATCGCGTGAGCCTGGAAGGTGGAGGTTTTAGGAAGCCAAGATCACACCACTGCACTCCAGCTTGGGTGACAGAGTGAGACACCGTTTCAAAAAAAACGGAAAACGAAACCTTGACTTCCCCACACAGAGTGAGCACAGGACTTCCTGACTGTGCACCTGTACACCCTGGGGGCTGACCAGGATGGTGAGGGACAGTCATCTGGACACTGCCCCCACCTTTCTGTACCCCTCTCAGCTATATGGGCATCACCGCTGGACTCCGTGGACTCCTCTTTTCCTTTGCTGAGCTATGACTCTCTGAATTCCAGCTTCTGAAGGTTCACCTGGAGATCCTGGCATGGCAGCAATAGGTTTGTCCCACTTTCATCTGACCCTGGGATCCCTGAGCATCTATCTTAAAAGTTGATAAGGACAAATTTAAGAAAAAGTACAAGCTTTAGTTAAGGATGCTTCTCTACCAAAACCTCAAGTGCTGATTCCAACCTTGACACTGACCTTGCAGTGTGGCCTCATAGCAACTGAATCCTTTACTCAACATCTTTAGTCCACAGTCCTAGGAGAGAGTTCTGATTCACTCCCTTTGTGTTAAATACTTGACCTTAGTCCAATCAACTGTGAGTGGGGGTGAGACTGCCAGATTCACATATGACTCCCTGGGTCCACCCATAGGGGCTGGAAGTGAAGCTGAGCCTTTGAGTAGGGGTGTGGGTGGGGAGAATGGCTGGTGTTGCTAGAAAAACCAGTACCAGCTACTGAGGAAGAAATCGTGGCTCCTTTTCAATAGACACTCTTCTCCCCTCATGCCAACCCCATCCATATATCCTTCGATACTCAGCTTTGTGCTCCGTCCTGCCAACTGCCTAAGTTCAAGTCTCAGCTCCTTCACATACGAGCCAGGCGTCTTCAAGGAAGGTACTTAACAAATTGGGCACCAGCTTCCTTACCTGGAAAACAGCTAGTGACAGTTCCTGCCTCAGAGTCTGCCTGTGAAGTTTACTTCCTGACACATGGTAACACTGGCAGCAGTTGGACGTGGTGGGAGTAAAGGACAGTCCCAAGTTTGACTCCACCATCCAGGTATGTATCGAGGACGTAAGTTCTTTCCATCTTCCACTCAGAAGCTTGACTTTCTTTTTTTGTGTGTGGTTGTTTTTTAAATTTTACTTTAAGTTCCAGGATACATGTGCAGAACGTGCAGGTTTGTTACATAAGTATACATGTGCCGTGGTGGTTTGCTGCACCCATCAACCCATCATCTAGGTTTTAAGCCCTGTGTGCATTAGGTATTTGTCCTAATCCTCTCCCTCCCCTCTCCCCCAACCCCAGACAGGCCCCAGTGTGTTTTCTTCCCCTCCCTGTGTCCATATGTTCTCATTGTTCAACTCCCACTTATGAGTGAGAACATGCGGTGTTTGGTTTTCTGTTCCTGTGTTAGTTTGCTGAGGATGATGGCTTCCAGCTTCATCCATGTCTGTGCAAAGGACACGATCTCATTCCTTTTCATGGCTACATGGTATTCCATGGTGTATATGTACCATATTTGCATTATGCAGTCTATCATTGATGGGCATTTGGGTTAGTTCCAAGTCTTTGCTATTGTAAATAGTGCTGCAATAAGCATACGTGTGCATGTGTCTTTTTAGTAGAATGATTTATAATCCTTCGGGTATATACCCAGTAATGGGATTGCTGGGTCAAATGGTATTTCTGGTTCTAGATCCTTGAGGAATTGCCACACTGTCTTCCACAATGGTTGAACTAATTTTCACTCCCATCTACAGTATAAAAGCATTCCTATTTCTCCACAACCTCACCAGCATCTATTGTTTCTTGACTTTTTAATAATCGTCATTCTGACTGGCATGAGATGGTATCTCATTGTGATTTTGATTTGCATTTCTGTAATGATGAGTGATGTTGAGCATTTTTTCATATGTTTTTTGGCTGCAGAGCTTCTTCATTTCTGTCTTAATTTCATTATTTACCCAGGAGTCATTCAGGAGCAGGTTGTTCAATTTCCATGTAGTTGTGTGGTTTTGAGTGAGTTTCTTAATCCTGAGTTCTAATTTGATTGCACTGTGATCTGAGAGACTGCTATGATTTCCGTTCTTTAGCATTTGCTGAGGAGTGTCTTACTTCCAATTATGTGGTCAATTTTGGAATAAGTGCAATGTGATGCTGAGAAGAATGTATGTTCTGTTGATTTGGGGTGGGGAGTTCTGTAGATGTCTATTAGGTCCACTTGATCCAGAGCTGTTTTCAAGTCCTGAATATCTTTGTTAATTTTCTGTCTCATTGGTCTGTCTAATATTGACAGCAGGGCATTAAAGTTTCCCACTATTATTGTGTGGGAGGTCTTTGTAGGTCTCTAAAAACTTGTCTTTTTAGTCTGGGTACTCCTGTATTGGGTGCATATATATTTAAGATAGTAACCTCTTCTTGTTGAATCGATCCCTTTACCATTATGTAATGCCCTTCTTTGTCTTTTTGGATCTTTGTTGGTTTAAAGTCTGTTTTGTCAGAGACTAGGATTGCAACCCCTGGTTTTGTTTTGTTTTGTTTTGTTTTGTTGCTTTCCATTTGCTTGGTAAATTTTTCTCCATCCCTTTATTTTGAGCCTATGTGTGTCTTTGCATGTGGGATGGGTCTTCCACATACAGCACACCGATGGGTCTTGAAGCAATTGTTGTTGTTTTCTGTTTGTTTGTTTGTTTGTTTTTCTTTCAATGGTCAGGTCCCTCTTCTGCAAGGCTGCTGCAGTTTGCTAGGGGTTCACTTTAGGCGCTATTCAACTGGTTCACTCCTGCACTTGGAGATGTCATTCAAGGAGGCTGAAGAACAGCAAAGATGGATATCTTCTCCTTCTTCTGGGATCTCTGACCTTGACAGGCACCAACCTGATGCCAGTAGGATTGCTCCTCTATAGGGTGTCTGATGACCCCTACTGGGGGGTCTCAGTGAATAGGACCTGTTTAATGAAGCATTTTGGCTGTCCCTTGATGTGAAAATCCTCAGTAAAATACTGGCAAACCAAATCCAGCAACATATCAAAAAACTTATCCACCACAATCAAGTCGGCTTCATCCCTGGGATGCGAGCCTAGTTTAACATATGCAAATCAATAAACGTAATCCATCACATAAACAGAGCCAAAGACAAAAACCACATGATTATCTCAATAGATGCCAAAAAGGCCTTTGATAAAATTCAACATCCTTAAATGTTAAAAACTCATAATAAACTAGGTATTGATGGAACATACCTCAAAACAGCAAGAGCTATTTATGACAAACCTATAGCCAATGTCATATTGAATAGGCAAAAGCTAGAAGCATTCACTTTGAAAACCAACACAACACAAGAATGTCCTCTCTCACCATACCTATTCGGCATAGTATTTATTAGAAGTACTGGCCAGGGCAATCAGGCAAGAGAAAGAAATAAAATGTATTCAAATAGGAAAAGAGGAAGTCAAATTGTCTCTGTTTGCAGAAGACATGATTCTATATTTAGAAAACCCCATGATCTCAGCTCAAAAATTCCTTAAGCTGAAAAGCAACTTCAGCAAAGTCTCAGTATACAAAATCAACGTGCAAAACTCACAAGCATTCTTATACACCAACAATAGACAAGCAGAGAGCCAAATCATGAATGAACTGCCATTCACAATTGCTACAAAGAGAATAAAATACCTAGGAATACAGTAACAAGGGATGTGAAGGACCTCTTCAAGGAGAACTACAAACCACTGTTTAAGGAAATAAAAGTGGACACAAACAAATGGAGAAACATTCCATCCTCATAGATAGGAAGACTCAATATTGTGAAAATGGTCACACTTCCCAAAGTAATTTATAGATTCAATACTATTCCCATTAAACTACCATTGACAGTCTTCACAGAATTAGAAAAAAACTATTTTAAAATTCATATGGGAGCAAAACAGAGCCCATATAGCCCAGACAATCCTCAGCAAAGAGAACAAAGCTGGAGGCATCATGCTACCTGACTTCAAACTATATTATAAAGCCACAGTAACCAAAACAGCATGGTACTGGTATCAAAACAGACATATAGACCAATGGAACAGAACAGAAACCTCAGAAATAACACCATACATCTACAACCATCTGATTTTTGACAAACTGGACAAAAACAAGCAATAGGGAAAGATCTCCTATTCAATATATGGTGCTGGGAAAACTGGCTAGCCATATGCAGAAAACTGAAACTGGACCCCTTTTCTTACACCTTATACAAAAATTAACTTAAGATGGATTAAAGGCTTAAATGTAAAACCCAACACCATAAAAACCCTAAAAGAAAACCTAGGTAATACCACTCAGGACATAGCCATGGGCAAAGACTTCATGATGAAAATGCCAAAAGCAATTGCAACAGAAGCCAAAATTGACAAATGGGATCTAATTAAACTAAGGAGCTTGACTTTCATCCTTAAACTTATCACCTTGTAATAGCAAAATGGCTGCCAGAGATCCAGGCATCATGACCTCACACAAACTTGCCTAAGCCAGGGAGGAAGTGGGGTTAAGAAGAACTCCCCTCACATGTCTCTCTTTTATTTATTTATTTATTTATTTATTTATTATTATTATTATACTTTAAGTTCTAGGGTACATGTGCATAACGTGCAGGTTTGTTACGTATGTATACTTGTGCCATGTTGG